ATTGTATTACAATTGCCAGGAGTAAAACCATATGCAAAATCCAAAAAGTCTCCTCTCGATATATGGCTATGCTTGTTTGACGAAGAAATGCTGAATATCATTGTGGACTGCACCAATATAAAAATAAATAGCATTTCCCAAATATTTTCCAGAGGAAGGGATGTTAGGACTACTAATATCATAGAAATAAAGGCGCTGATTGGAAGTCTATATGTTGCAGGAGTAAGAAAAGCTAACCATAGGAATCTAGGTGATCTTTGGAGAACGGATGGTAGTGGAGTGGAAGCATTTCGTCTTGGAATGAACAGAATACGATTCCAATTTCTGATGAGATGCCTTCGTTTCGATGATATACATACAAGAGAAGAGAGAGTACGAATTGATAAATTGGCTGCGATTGAGAAATTCAACGATAATCAAAAAAAATACTACTCACATTCTGAGCACGTAACCATAGACGAAAAGCTTGAAGCGTTTGAAGGTAAATGTAACTTCAGACAATATATACCAAGCGAGCCAAATCAGTATGGCATGAAAATGTTTGCACTTTCTGATTCTTTTATGTACTATACCAGCCATATGGAAGTTTATGTGGGTAAGCAGCCAGAGGACCCCTTTCGAACAGAGACCACTGCTAAATCAGTAGTAGAAAGGCTTTCTCAACATATCAATGGTACCAACAGAAACGTTACAACAGATAACTGGTTCACTAGTATGGAACTTGCCGAAGGTCTGAAAGCAAATAAACTAATCCTCGTAGGGACAATCCGAAAAAACAAGAGGCAGCTTCCGTTGGAATTTGTACAAAATACTGGCCGACCTAGCGGTTCATCAATGTTTGGCTTCTCTCATAATACAACACTGGTTTCATTCGTTCCAAAGAAAAGTAAAAGTGTGCTACTCATTTCAACAATGCATTTTGGAGATGACATTGATTGTCGTACGAATAAACTAGAAATTATTATGACTTATAATCGCAACAAAGGAGGGGTAGACATGGTGGATAAATTGTGTGCTCAATACGATTGTGCTCGTGGCACCAGAAGATGGCCAATGGTCCTCTTTTACAGCATGCTGACTGTAACTGGTATAAATGCGTTCGTAGTTTATAATGGAAATCATCCCGATTCAAAAACACTCAGAAAAGAATGTCTTCTAAATCTTTCCATGGCCCTCCTCTACGACTATCAAAAAGAAAGAGCAGTTTCTGCCAGATTACAAGAAGTGTGTAGTTTACCAGCTTCGGCCGAAGCTCAAGTAAGCACCCCGGGAACCGTGGGCTGCTGTGCTGACTGTAATTGGAAGAAAAATAGAAAAACCAAATACCTACCAATGTGTGATGTATGTTATGGAAATTCAGGTTGATTTTTTCTTTCAAGTACAGTGAAACTTTTCACTTCTGTTTTTGTGCTTAATATATTCCTTTTGTAAAAAAATCTTTGAAGTATCTTTTATTCTGCCCCAAAATCATATGATAGGTAATTATTGAATTTTTCTCAACTTATCAATTACACTCAGAAATATCATAATTTACTAGCCGGTCTGCTGGACCGTGCGCGAGTTACTAAGTACAATAATTTGGCGCGAGTAATGGAAGGTTAAGTTTGAAAATCTCCGTATAGGACAAAACTGCAGTAACGTTAGTTACAAATGAAAGTGGTAAAAAACATAGAAATTTTCATTTCTCTTTTCATTATGATTTCCTAACACGTAGTTAACGGCTACATCCATCAATTTATTTGGGATAACTCATAATTCCATCGATACTAACTCTCTGTTCTCGGTCACATAGATAGCTTTCGAAAATGTCGTAAGCTTTCCCACGTATTCCGCAAAGTTCAGGTCAAAAACTTATGCTAATCTATTCCGAAGGTTTTTCAGAATGCTGAGTTTTTGATTTTTTTCAACATTTGTTTCTGAATTTCTATTGTCAAATCTCAAAGTATAATGATTTCTTAGCCTTGTGAAAAGGAAAAATAAACAATACTAAGTTGAATTATCACAAGGGTGAGAAATGTTGATTTTTGAAAACATTGTTTTGAGATGATTTCCTGTGCAATCATATGGCACATAAATTGTAGAAATGATAAGGGAATTCTGTCTCTAGATGAATGATACTTTGTAAAAATGAATCTGTAGGCATATATAAATTTCTAAACTGTATGGCTTCAAATAACTATATACATTTGTTTCATTCAGTGTGATACTAGCCGCCGTGGCAAAATTTGTACATACTTTACATTAATGTTTTCCTAAACATTTTTCTAAAAGATATCCACGAACATTACCCAAGCTGTTGCTTTCGGGAATGACTAGAGTTCTATAATCATTTTTCTCGACTCTCAAACGTTTATAGGGATTTTTTGGAACTTCCACAAAAATATTCACTATATTTATTTCAGCATCTGTAATATTAGATAGAATCTCATTAGTATTTTCTAGACAGTTTGTTCCTTCTGCCTGTGTGAAATACTGAAGAGAAAATGTGGTTTTGAAAGCTCTGGTAATTTGAACAGGAGTTGGGTTTCTGGCATTTCCACAAGTATTTCTCTGTTGACCAAAATAAGTATCCACACAGTCCTGATTTATATTCCTTGTCAATATGTAGGAGTGTCCTTCACTACGTAGGGATTCTCAAAGTTGCAGACATTTTTATCTGCCACCCCTCTATGATTCTCATTTGTCCAGTCGTGTTTTTTTCTTTTTTTTGATATTACAGTTGATTTGCTGAAAAATATTACCATTTCTTTCAGAAAATCAATTTGTTTTGATGTTCAGAAAAAAAGGTTCATTGAATTGTTTGACAGCGTCAAATCGATTTGAATTCAAAATATCAAACACTTTATCCATTTTTTTAATGAATGTATTCTATTGCTGCTATTGCTATTGCTGCTGATGGTATCTGATTGAAACTGGCATAAGTATCCATCGCTGTAGCTACCGAATGACTTGACTGGCTAATTTAACCTTCATCCTCAGTTGAAAATGAATGAAATTCAGTAAGTTTGACTGCGAGTCTATATTGCTTCTCTTGATACAAGTTGTAAAGTTGTCCAAGATGACTTTTGTTCGTTGTAAATTCATCAAATTTCAAAAAGTCATCGAAAAAATGGTTTCTGCTACATTTCAGCGGATGACAAGTATCAAAAAAGTTCTTCAACAAAGAAATATTGCTGCTCTACAGTCATTTTGAAATCTTATCTAGCAAGTGTATAAAACTTAACCAATCAGGAAAGGAATCGTATTTCGTGTAGAAACGTTTCATTTGTAAATTGCAAAGCACTTTCGGCTGTTACGCCATCATCAGTGCTATACCTGCAAGTAAGTAATATTTAATGATATTTATTTCAATTTCAGATTGAACTTTAAATTCTTTCAATATTGTAGAATTACTTACTCATCAAGTATATACAAGAAGATCCTGCTGTCTTAAGGTACAACAACTTTAGTAAAAACCACTCTGACTGGACATGAACAACACAATAAGCAAAAATTTGCACAAAATGTGAATGTTTTTGTATGAATATTTTCAAAATCATTTCACGAGGAGGAAAAGGAAGTGAAAATTTGGCATTGACACAAAGTCTTCAACTATAGTTGAAAACACAAAGACACAAATCAATTTCACAAGAAAAATTTTTCATATGTATCGTCTATAGCAATTTGTTATATCCTTTTCATTATATGTTCATCCCTTCAATCTAACACAATGAAAACTAGAAAAATATACATTCTTGCCGTCAATTGGAAATCGAAAAACATTAATGCCAACATCACCTTGCAAATTATAGCTCGACACTTGTTCATTTCGAAACTAGACACGAATTTTTCACAGATACAAAACCACCACTTACAATGACACCTCTGTAATAATATTCGATGCCTCAACTTGGCTCGCTTGGTGAACCCATCAGATTCAGTCATATTATCTCACTTCTACATCAATAATAATAATACTTCCTCGGTTTTTCGAAAAAACAAGTTGGCATTGGATATGTAGAATATAATTGGTAAAGACACGCCCGAAGAAGTCATTGTATGGCGAAACAGGTGTTGCGTTTTTGTAAAATTGTTCAGTGCGAATCTCACAATGAAGTGATTTTGAGTACGTTCTCATTGGGGCTGTTTGGTACACTGTCCAAATCTAATCCTAAGCATCTGGCCCAATCTAACCTATCTTACGCTGGCACCAAAGATATTAAGCACTCATTTCGTAATGCACTATCACACTATCATATGATATTTAAACTCTAACAATCGTGGATAATGAAATCATATCACAAACTCCAATATGCTCTATTTCTTCATATCTAATTGGATATTTAATTAATAATAAAACTGACATTTGTTAGGGCTGCCGCGTTCAGTTCTCGTAATTTCATTCTACGGAATGAAATCGAATATCCTGATATTACTATGCTTTGCCTCAATTACAGAGATTCAATTTTGTTATGAAAATACGGCTTTCAGAATGAGTAAATTCTGAATAAAGTTGAAACTCAATTGAACAAATAATTTTTATCATCGAAGGAATGTGTTTCTCATTAAAATTGTTTTGTATAACTTAATGAAACAGTATCCCTTTGGGATTCTTATGTAATTTTCATTTTTTCAACTTCCTATATTGTTAGTTCGTCCTGGAACCTCTGGCAATCTATGAAAACACTTTCCAAACACCAGTTTGTAATCTACTTCGCTGTAGTGTTCATTAAATTTATTTGAAATTTCTACCATTCCATGTATCATATTTTGGTTCTGATTTCATCAATGCCTTTATCTCTTTGACTTCATCTACACATTCCCATAGAGCTTTGAACTTATTTTGATTTCTCTTTATTTCACTTTGAAAAACACTTTTTTACTGCTTTGATAAGGTTTCTCAGTTGATTTTCATAATCGTTATAAAGTTTTTCAATTTGTACAACGTCAGGATTATTCCATGAACATTTGTATAAATAATTTTTTTGTTATATGAGTGTTAGTATTCCTTGTGTTATCCATTTTTTCTAATATTATTTTGTTTTCGACTCTTACTTCAGTAACAAGGTAATGAAAAATTCAAGGAGGAACTTTGAAGTAGNTGCTCAACAAATGCTTAAGTTAAATTGCTGTTTGAAATAGTTTGATTAATAAAATCAGAAAAAAAATCTCTTTCTGATGCAGCAGTTGGATGAGTTTTTTTCAATTGAATATAATCTTCAGTATCCATTTTTGTATGACATTTAGATTCCTAAGAAAACAATAATTCACTCCTCCCCAACCAGGATAGTTGGGAATGGACATGTGCGAAGTACAACGTTTTCAAATGTTGAGTGTCAAGAAAGTTCTTTAAGTTATTGAATTTAGAAAGTGTACCTCTTAACTTTCTGATTATTTCTTTCGTCTGTAGGTGCCACCGAAAATGTCTATCTAAATGGATACCTACATATTTTATTGACTCGCCTTCAGGTATGTGATTATTGTTTCCCATATTTAGGGGTCCCATATTGGGTAATGTACTGCAGTATGGAAGGCAAATATTTGGTTTTTTCGAAATTGATCGTAAGTTAATTGTGAGATCTCAATGAAATCTTTTTCTGCAGACATTTCCAATGGGCTCCATGAAAGTCGGTACACAAGACAGCCGTATCGTCAGCAAAGCTCAAAATTTTACCTTTTGTGGGTATCTGCAATAGTTCATTCAGATATATTGTGAACAGGATTGGTCCTAGAACCGTTCCTTGCGGAAAACCATAGGTAACAATTTTGGGATTACTAATAAAAGAGAAATGAAACTTTTTATGTTTTTCATCACTTATATTTATTTGTAACTAACTTTACTGCAGTTTCGTCCTATACGGACATTTTCAAACCTATACAATAAATTAGATTTTATTGTTTAAGTTTGAAAATGTCCGTATAGGACAAAACTGCAGTAACGTTAGTTACAAATAAAAGTGGTAAAAAACATAGAAATTTTCATTTCTCTTTTCATTATGATTTCCTACCACGTAGTAACGGCTACATCCATCAATTTGTTTGGGATAACTCATAATTCCATCGATACTAACTCTCTGTTCTCGGTCACATAGATAGCTTCCGAAAATGTCGTAAGCTTTCCCACGTATTCAGCAGTTTTCTAATTTTCTCAGGAGTTTTGTAAGACTGACAGTATCAAAAGCTTCGGATAAATCAACGAAGATGCACATTGCTGGGATGTTTTTGTCAAGAGCTTCGTAAATACATGTAGTTACATTTTGTATTGCATCTTCCGTTGA